AAGGCGGGCGCGGACACTGCTGTCGACGTTGCGGCTCCCTGAGAATCAGTGAGGGCGAAGGCATTGCTCGCTTCCACAAATTCGCTTAGATGTGCTACCGTCGTGCCCCTATTTAAGTGCCTATATTCGTTGCTGAAGTTCGTCACCATTACCTTGGCTTCGCCGTTATGAAGCTTGGCTATGCCTCTTGCGACGCACATCTGACGGTTTAGGAGCAGGTGCTGGTCGCCTTCGATGACACCTTGTAAGTTGGTAGACGCTTTGGTGCCGACGGAAATGATGACGCTCGACAGTGGCGGGATAGTTACCTGCTCTTCTGTCACATTCAAGGCATTGTGAGCGACGTTGCAGTCTGACGCCGTTGCATTATCCGAGGACAGCGTGATTGACCTGGATCTTAGGTCGATTACTGCGCCTTGCTGGTCCAGGAAATCCATGCCTAAAATGACGTCTCGCGAGCATTGCTGCAGGACCACAAAATTCACAGAATACGTCTGGCTGTGAATCGTGACTCTTGCCGTGCAGGTTCCAGTCGGTGTTATAAGGTGGCCCCCTGCTGTTCGGATATCCGGTCCTTCCCATGCAGTCTTTACCTTCTTGAGCTTAGCGGCGAAGAGACCACTGATGATAGAGTAGTCGGCGCCGGTATCGACTAGGGCGGTGACGCTGTGGCCGTCGATGATCACGTCGAGGTCGGTGGTTCGTCGTCTGGCGTTCCGGTTAGGTCGGGGCGTCGGATCACGGCTGCGTCGGCTTGGTCCGGTGCTGCTATGTCGCGTCGGCGGCGAGGCTTTGTCGTAAAGACTCTGCTCAGGCGGCGTACTGCGACTACGTCGGGAAAGTTCGTGCGTCGTGGTCGTCGTCATCGGCAGCGGCGGCGGCGGCGGAGGAGGATCTTCGGCATTGCGTCGTGCAGCAACCGCACCTCCATCGGTTGCTGCCTTTAGTTTCCCGGGTAGGGGCTTGGGGATCGGCCCCGGTTAGGGCCGGTGTACTGGCGGCGATCCGGGGAGACGTAGCGGCCAGGCGAAGGTGAACGGGATGGTCGTCGTTGTTGCCACTGCGATCCGGCGATGTAGTCGGCGATGTCGCGAGGTCGCTCACCTGGGCGCGGACGCGGCGCGTTCACGTCGAAGCCACGCAGTCCCATCTCACGGTACTGGCAGTAGTGGTAGGTGTGCCCGGCTTCACCGCAGTGGTAGCATAGTGGGCGGTGGTTCGGGGTGCGCCAAACGTCAGTTTTCCTCGGCGAGCGCTGGATTACTGGCGAGCGGGAAGGCGTCGGGGGTGGCGGCGGTGGCTGGCGACGAAACTGCGGAGACGTTGGGTTCTGGTGTTGGCGAGGAGCAGCGACAGGTCGTCGTGCAGTAGCGGCGTAGGTCATCGCCTCCGGTTGGGGCTGTGGCCGTTCAGGAACGCTCAGTGAGCGCTGTAGTTCCTCGCGGACTACGTCTTCGAGAGAGGCGACTTGGGGCTGAGACGATGGCAACATGCGGCGCAGTTCTTCACGAACAATAGCGCGTATGGTCTCGCGCAGGTCGTCGGGGCAGAGTCCTCGGACTTCTGCGACGTCTGGCGACATGCGCCGATCGTATTGGCTGGTCCGCATTTCAAGAGTCTTCTCGATGGTGGTAGCCTCGGAGAGGAACTCTTGTACCGTCTTTGGCGGGGTTCTGATCAGTCCGGCGAAGAGCTCCTGCTTCACTCCTCGCATAAGCAGGCGAACCTTCTTGTCCTCAGACATGTCGGCGTCGGCGTGGCGGAAAAGTCGCGTCATCTCCTCCGTGAAGATCGTTACGTTTTCGTTGGGGAGCTGCACCCGAGTTTCAAGCAGTGATGCAGCTCTTTCTTTCCGCACGACGCTTGCAAAGGTGCGCAGGAAAGCAACGCGGAAGTCGTCCCAGGTTCGAAGCGTTGACTCGCGGTTCTCGAACCAAGTCCTTGCGGCGTCTTCCAGGTAAAAATACACATGACGCAGCTTGTCGTCCGGGTCCCACTTATTGAGGGCTGCGACGCGGTCGTAAATGTCAAGCCAGCTTTCCGGGTCTTCGTAGGTCGATCCGCGGAAGGTAGGCGGCTCTTTGGGCTCGTTGACGACCACGGTTGCCGAAGACCTTGCTTCCGTCATCGTGGATGCCGGCTTCGTAGCAGCCTTTGTTTTCTTGTCCTTGTCGGGAAGCGGCAGGTATTCGGGCGGTAGTCCTTGTTGTCTTCGGCTCACTCGAACGACCGGGTCGGCGTCGTCCTCTTGGCGGCTTGGGCTTGGCTCACGGCTGGACGGGGGCGTACGGTACATGGACAGAGAAGCACCTCCACCAGATGTCACGAGGTTGTGATACACGCAGCACTTGAGAGGAAGCACGCAGGAGTCAGGGCGGTGTCAGGCGAACTGTTTATTGGGCGAACTTGTGCCCAGAAAAACAGGGCCAAACACAACTCACAGCAACAGCGGCGTGAACAGTCGTCGGCCGACGGAAAAAAAAAAAGACCCCCAGTGGCGCACTGCGCCGGCTTTTTATACACGCGTCGTAACGCGTTCCAAAGTGGCATACAAGATAAACGCGGCCTGCGTTGCGCTTAACAGAAAGTGATAGCGTCTTCCTTCGCAAACGAGAAGAACCGCACGTGTCAGTTTTTTATACACGCGTCGTAACGCGTTCCAGAGTGGCATACAAGATAAACGCGGCCTGCGTTGCGCTTAACAGAAAGTGATAGCGTCTTCCTTCGTAAACCAAAAGAACCGCAAGTGTCAATATTGTCTGTATGAGCATTATTAAAACTTTGGAGTGCAATGAAACTATGTAGATTGCTGCCGTCTTCACTCTGCAGAATCGGTTATCAGTGCAGTGGAGAAAATGAAATCCTCGTTCCACGAGTGTATGGCACTAATTAAGGCAATAATTATGCTTCTGTGGCCTGTTAAAAGGATATTTTTAAAGTAAAGTATGTAGATAAAGTGGGAACATCTTATCACTTACATTAACACTCAGGTGAACACCAAGTTTGTGTTCAATGCAGATAATATTGCTCATTGTAGCTCTATAACATTTTCTTGTCATTATGCTGAAATTATGTTGGATGAGATGCAGTCATCTGTGTGAGAACTATGTAGTCTCCGGGAGCAAATGACACTCCATGAAACACCTAGAAAATTGGTTATAACGCATTGTTGATTGTTCTTTATCTATAATATACCATAAATATGCGTTTGCATTTTTCTTCGTTTTTGTGTTGGGCAGTGTTGGCTGATCGGACTCAAGAAAACTGGCAAAAGCAAAATTCTCTGCAAATCACCATGTTGGAAAAATAAAGTTAAATATTAGTGACAGGCCATAGTGGTGGTAGCCTTCTGCCATCTGCTTAAAAATTGTTTCTAACACAGCATTCAAGGGCAGCAAGCAGGCCTCGGATGGGGTGTCCTACTAGCACGCATGTTTTTAGACGATTGGAAAAAAAAAATCACAGCATGTCCATTGAGTGAATGATGATGAGGAAGGCGAAGCTTCAGTAAGTTTTATCAATAAACCGTGAATCGTCCATTTGTCTGTCTGTCCGTCCTCCTGCACCTGCTGAGTGAGTCATCGAACTAGGCAGTCACGTACGAACTAGGAGGGACAGACCCATGGCTTTAGGAACTTCGCCCCTAAAAAAAAAAGTGGCATCGCTGCTAAGTTTGGCCATCACGACAGTCGTAGTTCATGGCTGCAGTTGCACCCACTCACTAATATATGATGTCGTAACGTAATCCGCAATCCCTGCTTCTCTTCGAGGGTTTCTACCCCATGTGAATGCCCCATAAAAAAAAGTGACCTTGGAAGACATACTGAGAAATTGTTTTTAAATTGAAGCATACACAGTGACTTTAGGCATTGAAAAGTCCTCTAATTTTTGGCACCTTAAGCTTCTAGCAATCTTAGCCTATATGCATGAAATTCTGTATGCACAATCCTATATGCATGAAAGTAAATAGTTTCGATTCATACGTCTTGTTATAACAAAGCAAAAGTGATTAAAATTAATATTTGCTTGCTTGCAAGCTCTTGTAGGATGCATTGTTTGGTGCAACTTTCTCATGAGCTGCTTTGTTTCAAGCATAGAAGAGAAAAAGCATCTGTAATTATGCTGCAGTGTTGTAGCTTTCACGATTTAATGCATCGTAAAGATTTATCATTAATAATTCTGTGCTGACAAGAGCTTTGAGCACAAAAAACGCACATTCACAAAAGTGAGAGGGCAGGACGGGCACTTTCATCTACTCCTGTCCACTCATTATTGTGAATGTGTTTATTACACTCAAAATTCCCATTAACTATGCACCATCATACTGAATTTCAAGTTATCTTAATTCTGTGCTTATGTATTTTATCTCTTAGAACTGTTATTGCTAACTATCCACCAGAAAGCAAGTGGCATATTAAAGGTATCCCAAGAAATGTGTTACAATGAAACCTAATTCAAGCAGCATGCCTATACATTCTTGTGTGCAATTTTACTATGCTGTATTCTGTGCTACCCTGGAATGATGCAGATTGTGTTCTCTAGCACTTGAGCCAGGCATTTAAGATGATGTTTTGTTATTATTTTACTCAATTATCAGCTCGAGCTTAGAAAAAAGACATTGTCGCAAAATGTTTAATTGTAGCATTTTCTGTACTTCATCTAGTATGAGGGTAAGATAAATAGTGTGTGTTCTAAAAAATGTGTATCTTATATGCGTCTACTTCTGTACTTCATCTAGTATGAGGGTAAGATAAATAGTGTGTGTTCTAAAAAATGTGTATCTTATATGCGTCTACTTGTCTGTCATGTTCTGATATTGCCTTGCATGATTTATCTAGCTCCAATAATGCCAGTGAACATTTGCACTTGCCAAAGGTCCTTACATACAACAGTATGTTACATGTAAAATGGTTTGTCTGCAAGGTGCATAAACATACACAATCATAAAAACTGCCTTAGTCTTCTGTTTTTCCTTTATAAAACAAAAATTATTTTTGTAGACTCGCTGCAAACAGCTGGAGATGCAGCAGCAAAACTTGTCACAAATGACTTCTGACCTGTCAAGTAAACTACGGGCAGCTGCAGACTCGGCAGAAGGTTCCCTCAGGTTAGTCCATTTATGCCTCAGGCTAAATATAAAATGTCAGAACTGATCAAGCCATTTTATCATCTGTGCCTTTTTGTTGCTTTCTTTTCGTCTTGCTCCATAACATATTACCCTGGCATAGTTTCACGGTAAATTCAGCACGTTATACGTACAGTTAAACCTCAATGCAACAAACAGGGATACAACAAAGCAAACATAAATTCTGTACTTTATATTTTAGTTCAGTGAGTATTCTAACATTAATATGAAGTAAGGAAATGCAACGATTTCTGAATTATCAGTTACTAATGTTAGACACCTGAAGTGGTGCTGTCATCATGTGGCACTACCCTTTGGCCTAGTGTGTCCTTATCCTGGATGTTTCTGGTGGGCTGTGCACCAGAAACATCCACGGTAATCCATACTACAGTGGACTCTCAGTAAACGAAAATCTGTTAAATGGAACTGCTGCTTAAACGGAACAACTGCCTCTGATGTGATTGGTTTCATACTCCATAAATGCTGCAACCCAGCTCACTTCTCAGTAAATAGAACTCCTGTTAAAGGGAACACATTTTTCTGGTCCCTTCAGGTTTCGTTTAATGAGAGTCTACTGTATATTTGGCTTTGCTGGCCGTGTGAACGCATCTACACAGTGATATCAGTTTAGGAGAAGGTGAGGGAGTGATGGGGTGGGGGCTGGAGTTTTCTTGCCTTGCCCTCTCCACCGTGTACTAGCCCTTACCCCTGAACCTGACAGCTACAATTACCAACAGCTGAGTTATGTTCTGGACACACACACTGCTGAAATAAGTCATGTATAAATAACAGCCATGCTTGAGTATCAGCCATCTATAAATAAATACCGAAATTTAGTATAGTAATAATTGTTTGGGTTTGAAATATATAATAATTGTTTGGGGAGCTGAAAGCCACCAAGGTGCGTTGGGCCTGTCGTGTGCCTATAACTGGGATTGATGGTAAACTTCGTTTCTTTAGAAGGAAACTGCGGGCGCTTCTGTTAAATAGCCATCAGGCCAATACTGATGTCCTACACTTAAATAGTACTTCTCAAAGCTTGCTGTTAGTTGTTGGTGTGAGAAACTCGATTTGCGGCCACTTTGTTTTCTTTTTTGCTCTGTGCGTTTTCGTGGAAAGTTTTCCCGTGTAATTCTCGCACCCCCCAACTGTGCATCCGTTTTCCACCAAAAAAAGTACGAGGATTATGTGAGTAAATACGGTACTTCACATGGGCAAGCTGAAACAACACAGCCAGTGACTTGACTTGGGTGACTTGGAGCCTACAAGCTAATTTGCCAATGCTGCATGGTCATCTCAATTGCACTGTTACATGTAACTGAAGGGGCAAACTGCATTTTTGATTAAGTATTCTTCACATGCCATGGTATCACCATGCTATCGCAATGAATTGGAGAAATTTTGTTGGCTTATCAGATGCATCACGCACGTTTGCAACAGTTCGATATAATTATGATTGTTGCATTTTTTTTTCCAACATCAGTATGTATGCTGTAACAAATATAGGATGTAGCAGTGATGTTTTTACAATGTGTAGAACTTTGTTACAATGAGACTTGACTGTAGTACACAGGTGGTGGCTTGTGACTTGTTTTCAATGGAAGGTACAAATATATACTCTTGCCTTACTATCATTGCAATGGTACTCTAATAACAACAGTAAAGGCAAGCAAATTCAAATACATATATTCCAAGACAACACATGGGTCAACAAGGAACTATGCGTGGATGGCCCACTATTTATGCAAAGGAACCATAATTAGGGGCTCTTTAGAAAACATCATTTCTTTCTAATAAAGTCCTATGTATAAGTGGCCAGTATAATAGCAATTCAAAAACTCATTATTAAGAGAATTGCGTCATGGCTCAAGGTAATCTATTGCCATGCTCATCTCTTTATAGCAGAAAGTACAAGCCAGTCTCCTATTTGTAAAAAAGGAGCATTCTCATCCAGATGTAAAAAAAAGTGCCCTTCATTCATGTTTATAGGCCAGAAAAATGACTAATTGGGATTCCTTTGTGTGCATACTGGAACACCCACAACAGTCACTGCTTTACCTTCTCTATGTTTTTAGAGCAAAAAAGAAAGTTCATTTCGTCTTTTGCTAGCTTCTGCTGTTGTCGTTTAGGCTTAGTAACTAAACAGCACAAAAGACAAGCTATGACAAAAGAGAGCATGTTCATCTTCACTTTTTCTGTTTTTTTTTTACTGAGATAAGCTTCTGACTAGCCGAATCAGACATTTTGTTAAAGAGACACTAAAGTCAAATAAAAATTTATGTCAGAGTGAAAGCTCAATGTATCAACATGTCTAAAACGACAGTATTAGTATCAACAGCAGTGCCCTACTTACCTAGAAATTAAGGTAAATGCATGAGAACACATACACTATACAAAATGATCCCAATGACGTGAAAGGTACTGCTTACAATTAATCACTAGGAGTCAAACTAGCTGCACTAAATAAAAAACCTTCCGTGCTTCAAAAGACGTAATAAAATGCTGCATGTTCATTTCTGTTTGATTCATAGAAAAAAGAACCGCTAGACGTTACTATTGGGAATGGCCCAAGTGATTAAAAAATTAAAATTTTGCCTGGTTAAACTAGACAGTTCCTGGCCATCTAGCAGGGCTCAGTTGAACCAAACACGTCTGTCATCTTGCAGGCCATAGCAGAAAATTGTTCAATGGCCATTGTTGCTGCTACGGCTCCCGTCCAGTTGCTGCGCAGTAAAGTCTGGTAACGTTGTGCATGGCAACAGTGACATTATAGTGTACTAGAATATGGGGTAGTGTGTTCAGGGAGGAGCCATGGCTGACGCATTTGGTATCGACAGCCACGAGATGGCGCCACCTTAGCATGGGCTGTCACCTCACGCTCTGTCTTTCATGCACTTCTGTGCTTTAATATTAGTAATAGCAGGGGTTTACGTCCCAAAACTGCCATACGATTATGAGAGACGCCGTAGAGGAGGGCTTTGGAAATTCGACCACCTGGGGTGCTTTAACGTGCACCTAAATCTAGTACACGCACCTCAGTATTTGCGCCTCCGCCGAAAATGCAAGCGACGCGGCCGGGATTCGATCTCGTGATATGCGCTTGCATACGTAATTGCTGACGCGTCCGCGAAAAGCTTTCAAATGGGTTTGTTTGTACTGCATTCAAAACAAAACGTCAAAGCCGCAACACACGGTTTAAATGCAGGTATTAACAAACAACGGTGAAGCAGTCGTTCCTGGGTAAACTGTTTGCCGTTTTTAAAGCTCGGTTGGTGAACAAATAAAAAATTTGGGAGATTGAGGTATTGAAAGAGCATCTATAAACCCGAAGGTTTCTTGTTATATTACTGCTATATCGAGTCGTAATCTGCACACTGGGACAGCTTAGACTTCCTTCATTACGCGCGCAGCACCGTTCTTGTCGATAGTTGCATCATGCAATTTTAATTATGTTGCTAAGGTGACAAAACTGCCATTTGATTGAGAGGCATGCCGTAGCTGAAGACTTGGGAATAATTGATGACAATCTTGGGTCCTTAAAAGATTACGCGCCCGCCGGAATACTGCTGCTGTGGCCCGGATATTGCACTGTACAGTCAACAGGAAATACCTTTTGGTACCACTGTCAGACAGTAGGAAGAAGCCCTTTATTTACGAGCGCGCATACTGCAGTGAGCAGTAACACTGATCAAATTCGTTGCCATTCCGTGGAATAATCAGTTCACGATCATTTCACCGCGGTGGCACCTTAGGAACACCGATTGATTTTCGCGTGCAGCTTTTTTTTTTTTCGTTTTGCTTCTCGAGACTAGTTGATACCCTTCACGAAAAAATAAAGTCGTGACAGCACGTAAATTACCGCTCTCTTTGACACGAGATGCGGTGTGATCAAGCTCATATAAATTCAAGGTGAACAAAGCTTGAGTAAATGTTTTAGCCAAGCTGCAGTCCCTGTAGTGTTCACCACCTCGGTTTCGTAGTCAGCAGGAAGGTGCATCAATGTACCTGAATCAGTGGCTTCACCATCAAGACAGGGTGCTCAGTTTTCTTGGAGATGGTAGATTTGACTGCCGAGTTCTTCTGCTTTCTCAGAGGTCTTGGATGCGGCGCTTTCTTCGATAAGTAGCTTGGAGCATTAGGCAGTAACATCGGCACAGCGTCCGGCGTCAGCTCAGATCACGATCACTTCACCGCGGTGGCACCTTATGAACACCGACTGATTTTCGCGTGCAGCTTTTTTTTTTTTCGTTTTGCTTCTCGAGACTAGTTGATACCCTTCACGAAAAAATAAAGTCGTGACAGCACGTAAATTACCGCTCTCTTTGACACGAGATGCGGTGTGATCGAGCTCATATAAATTCAAGGTGAACAAAGCTTGAGTAAATGTTCCAGGGAAACTGAAGTCCCTGTAGTGTTCGCCACCTCGGGGTCATATTCAGCAGGAAGGTCCATCTATGTGCCTGAATCAGTGGCCTCACCGTCAAGACAGGGTGCAGCAGTTTTCTTGGAGATGGTAGATTTGACCGCCGAGTTCTTCTACTTGCTTGGAGGTCTTGGATGTGGCGCTTTCTTTGATAAGTAACTTGGAGCGTTAGGCAGTAACATCGGCACACCGTCCGGCTTAAGCTCTGGTCTCCTACGTGGTACATGAACTTCTTCGCCATTTATAACGTGCCCGTAGTCTCCGAGAACAAATGACGGCTCGAAGTGTAGCTCACATACAGAGCAGCCTTCGTTCAAGGTCCCATCCTTTCAATATAAATTCTGTTCCCAAACCTTCCGTGCTTCGTCTTTGTGTGCAGTGAAAAGCGACTGCTGCTCACTTTTTTCCAATGGTATACCCTGTTTCGCACCTAGGTGCAAAGCAGTGTCGTTGCCGCCAATGACTTGACATTGCCTCACTGTCGTGTGGCCAGCAAAAACATTGCTAAAAAAACTTTCGTTATGCGGGCGTGAACACAAGCAACATGTCACTGAACAGC